GTCTGAATGGATGATGAATTCAGTGTTAAAATGATTGTAAACAAAAAGAAAAAGGTCAAAGAGAGGCTTTTTTTGTTTTTCTGTATCACATGAAGGGATTTTTGTGAAAAGTGAATAATCTGTTTCACAGTGAATTACAGTGCCTCCGCTGTATGGTCCTGGTTTTCATTTCATTGTTCTGGATGATATCTGCTGAGATAGAAAGTGAACTGTAATATAATTACTACAGCTTGCATGCAAGACCCTGTTTTCGGTTCATTAGCTGACTGTCTGTCACAGTCACATCCTAGCTTGTAAATTGAGCTTTCAAAGATAAATGTATAGGGTTAAATCCTTCTCAAACATAATGCATGAGTAGAAATAGATTCTGATCACACCAAAAAGGTACATACAGTGAGTAAAATCATAGTCTAGTGGCTATTAAAGCTGTAAAATAAACACACCAGCAATATGGTTTCACCCACAAGCAATCTAAATGGAGATCCACTCCCTTGATTTAATAAGAAAACCATAATTTTCACGATGACTCAGTACTTTGTGGCATTGTACTCCACCCTCCCCTCTGAGCTGTGACGCTGTAGTTGTGCTAAATAATTTAAAAAAAGAAAAGAAAAGACAAATAGGCCTAAAAAAAGAGAGAGAACTAGTTAGATTTGCTCAACATTTTTCACACTGAATGCACTGATGTGTTGAAGGACAAGGAATGGGCCAGGACTCTTTAAACTGCTGCTGTCTGAAAATCTAAAACTCGCATGAGTTCTTCGTGACATGACCTCAAAAAGTCATCACAGCCCAGCCTTCCCTCTCTGGTTGTAAACACAGACGTATACCGTGATACCCTCAGTGGCCGACACGGCCGCAGTGTGTGAGGGCCCAGTCTAGCACTAGCCACCGTGGGTCTCCTTCCAGTTTTAGCTTCTGTGTGTGTGAGTGCATGAGTGATAACTGAGTGAAAGTTTTTTTTGTGCGTGTGTGTGTGTGTTTGACCTCTTCAGCCTGCTGCCTGCTAAGCATCAAGTCTGACCCAACCACTACAAGTGCTGCTATGCACTCCGACACTCTGGTGCTATATCTCTCATCTTATATGCTGTCTGGTTTGGACTGCGCGTGGCGTCAGACCAGAGTGAAGTGATGATATGACATGCGTATGTCATACTGCTGTTGTGATATTGTACTTGTATTCTCAGCTTGCTTTGGATGAACTGATTAAAGTGATGCAGAATCCTGCATTGTGACTTGTTGAATTTATTTGGACTTTAGTGTTTATTAAAATGCAACAGCTTATCCTGTTAAGTAAATTTCATATACAGTCACTGTCCACTTTGTTAGGTACACCTGTTCAGCTGCTCATTATCACAAATATCCAGAGGTCAGAGAAAAGGAAGGAAGGCAACAGCTCAAAAAGACTTATTACAATCAAGGTATGTAGAAAAGGATCTCTGAATATGCACAACATGTCAAACCTTGAAGCAGATGGGCTACAGCAGCAGAAGATAACATGATTCCTGTCATGAAACTGAAGCTACAGTTCAGAAATTAAACCATAAAACATTGGTAACACGTGTCCATGTCTGGTGAGTTAGGCTAAGAATTGGGTACAAACAACATGAAATCATGGATCCATCCTTCCTTGTATCAACAGTTCAGGCTGGTGGTGGTGTAATGGTAAGGGGGATATTTTCTTGGCACATTTTGTTTCCCATTAGTAACCAAATGAGCATTATTTAAGCACCTAAGCCAACCCAATTAATGTTGCTGACCAAGTCCATCCCTTTATGACCACAGTGTACCCATCTTCTGATGGTTGCCTCCTGCAGGATAATGCGGCATGTCACATACCGGTACCTTAAATCATCTTAAACTGGTTTCTTGAACATGGGGTTCACTGTATTCAACTGGCTTCCACACTCACCAGATCTCAATCCAATAAAGCACCTTTGGGATCTGGTGGAACAGGAGATCAACATCACACATGTGCAGTCGACTAATCTGCAGCAACTGTGTGATGCTTTCGTATCAAATATCCTTTTTTCCAGCTCCTTATTGAATCTATGCCGAGAATAAGGACAACTCTGAAGGCAAAAGGGGTTAGCACTAGCTTTCTGTACCTTATAAAGTGGCCAGTGTAGACTGACATAAAAATGCAAGGAGGGGAAGTCCAGAAGAAATGAAGTGATGATAAATCTGTGTGGTTACTCATGTTTTCTTTGAAATATCTTTCTACAACTTACATCTAACCTCCTAAAATATTATTTTGTACATCAAGAGATACTTGTATCTTGAAGAATTTCCAAAGAAAGCCAAGTCAACTGAAAACTTAGGGTATCTGTGCCAAGGCTCGAACTAAATAATTAAGCAAGAGTACTGAATTGCTATTTAACTTCAGTGTTGCTGGTTTGCATTTCTCCAGAAGAGAAATCTGAGACATTCTCCTTCAAGTCTGGATTTTGTGGTTTTCTGTTGACCTTACAGTTTGTGCTCTGCAGATGTTCCCTCCTCCAAACTCTGGTAAAATTGAGAGCCATTTAAAGGTTGCATAAATATATTTTATGCGAGCATCGTTCAGTTCAGTTCAGTTTAAACAAGCTAGCCAAAGTGCTCTCATCTGAAAACAAAACACTCACTGTTAATAAAATCATGAAAGGGCGGATGTAAGACTGGAAAGAAACATTCATTTATCCCTTTATCATCCTTTTTGGTGTCTGGTGGTCATTTTCCTGTGAATCAGTCATCCTGACATAAATCTGCATCAATAATTCAGTCGTTATGGGCCCTCGTGTTTGCAGAGCAGCATGAAATATTGAATAAGAGATCAGCAATGGCGCTGGAGCTGCCTAGGCTCTGCCCACCCCCCCCTGCCCTAAAACACATTTGTGGCTGGTCATGGTCCCTCCCTATATTGTACTGTTGGTGCAAGTAAGAGTTCTTATTATATTATATATTCTTATTATATTGTATTGTATATTTTTGAAGTTCATTATGGTGGAAACAATAAACTTCAGTGACCGTCACAAAGCTTTGACAGTAAAAAGGGTTTAGGCTTGAATGCATGTGTGGGGGAAATGGCATGTACAATATTTGTATTAAATATTCACAGCACAGAAGAGACTGCCGATGATTTCCCACTTTATTCGTTTTATAGCAGCTCATTTTTGAGAACACAGAGGAATGAATCACCTTGAATGCGCACCACAGTATAAGGCTGCTGTTATGAATACCTGCATTTTGTGCAACACTGAGCAACTTTATTAGTGTAGCACTGACTTCACTTTAGGAGACACGCACTCTTGTGAAAATATTGTATTTCTTTGACAGACAAAGGACTGACGGTCAGCAAATCATGACCTCTAGTGGAGGGGATCTATGGCACAATCTGACAGTGAACCTTGTGAGCCTTGATTGAAAGGTGGCTGCAGGCTGATCTCAGGTTTCCTTCTGCTTACAGTGGCTTCCTGTTTCTGTTGGCATTAAGGGCTTTCTCAGGCTGGTAGGGATAACCAGTTCCTTCAGGTGTAAATCATCTCTTTTCTGTCTATTAACAACATGTGAAACCTTCCCAGTGTAAGAATGCAGTATAGTACAGCACAACAGAAGGGGAATAATTAAGTCTGGGTCATAATTATCAACCACACTAGAAAAAATGCAGAGATTTTGGTCAAAGATCAAAATCATTCCAGATAAATAAAGTGAATAAAATAAAGAATAAAGTTGCATGCATGGATGATTTTCAGACTGACAGGAAACATTTCTGAATTTATACAAGAGAGGACTATTTAACAGTGAAAATTACTGCTATCATTTAATCCGTCCACTGCACGTGAAATAGCTTGATCACAGCAGTCCTTATTGTACAGGTCTGTTTCTTTGTTCACACTCTGTGTCTGGAGGAAATGCTGACAGGGTGGAGGAGAAGTTGTTGTCACTTCCTGGGAGGAGTTTGGTCTGGCGTTTACAGATAAAAACAGACATAAGAGCTGTGGTTTAACTGCACTGCCAAAGAAGGAACAAAGAAGACAGAAGGCTTTCCGAGGTTATCAGTGGTGCTACTTAAACACAGGGTTGAGATTCTTTTACTATAAAATCACAACTGAGCTGATCAATTAATATAGAAATGTATATATAGTTTTTCTAAAAAGTTGATTACAACATCTAAACTAAACTAAACTGGCTGAATTTAAACCGCATATGAATAATCTTATGATATAAAATATTTTATGTTTGTGACTATTTTATGCTCTTTTTTTTATACTTTCCTAAATAGTACTTTAGGTGAACTCAGGGCAGGTACTGAAGTATTTTATTAGTATTTTTACTTAAATAAAACTCCGTAACTAAACCATACTACTCCATATTCATTCGGAGGATCTTGTTATTTTATGTTTTATGGATATTAAAATGTAAATACAAGATAAGAACAAATTAAAATAATGTATATTTGTGTGTGTGTGGAGTGTGTATTATCCCTGCAGTAAATAACCACATTAAATTATATTTATATATTTAGTCTGATACAATAAAGAAATATTAATTGTAGCCCAAAATCATGATATCACCTTTTTAAAGTTAATTTTAGGATACAAAGGGAAGGGTTGACTTGTTCCTTCACTACAAAATACATTTTTCTCATAAATGTGAGGATTTATTTTAAGAAATTAAGAAACAATTTTTCTTTTCTTTCACCTTTCTTTGAGTTTATGTATTTATTTCAAATTGAAATTTTATGGCGTGGCACAAAAATAATGCCATAAAATTCGAGCTGGATGAGTTTAAATACCTGGAATCAGTCATCCAGAGAAGAAGAGAGTGCAGACAGGGTGGAGTGGGTGTAGATGAGCTTCAGGGGTGATTTGTGATAGAAGGGTAGAGAGATAGATGTAGATAATCCATTGTGGGACCGTCTAAAGAGAGAAGCTGAAAGAAGAAGAAGAAAAAGAAGAAGCAGAAGAGGGGATAATGATAATAAGAAGTGTATAAAAACAAAATGCTATTTACTTCAGGCTTTAGTTTGCTGCGGTTTCCAGTGCAGCAGGTGGCGATATGCTCAGCTTTCCCGCACAGTTTTAATAATAAACGAAGAAGAAGCGACAGGAAATAAACAAAGCCAAACAAGCTGAGAGGAGGGAAGAGCAAGGAGGAGCTCAGATCTGCTGCACATAGTGATATTAACTGCTGTAAGAAACATTTATGAAAACCTTGTGTATCACTAGAGTTAGAAACAACAGTATGAATTTATACAATCCCGGGTTAAAATGTACAAGCTGTATTAATTTAGGAAAAGTCGGATAAAGAGCACAGACCTGTGACAGGTTTCGCGGGAGCTAATCTGTTAGCCAGATAAACATCATCTGCACAAACACAACTTCTTAAGGATGAAGTAAACTGTTGTTAGCTGTGAACGGCCTCATTAACTGTTATGACCAAAAATATATATTTTAAAAATATATGTTTTGATGTGGTTTTAGTTACTCATTCAGTCAGATAGTGAGAGCTTTGGCGCTAACTTCAGCTAATGACTCTTCAAACATTTACAGACATGTTTCAGTTTCCATGACACCATCAGTCCTCGTTAGCACATGCTAACTAGCAAAACGGCGTCTTTAGTAGTTTAGATGTCGTAGTTTAACGTTTCCTTTTCTCCCTGGGTTAAACATATGTGCCTACTTTCTGTGCGGCTGGTTAGGGTGTGAGGGGCTGAGCTCACAGGACTCAACGACATGATGACAACAAAGAGACTCGGGAACTTTGAGGTGGTCTGTGAGTGGGGTTCGTGCAGTTTCACGGGCCGCTCCATGGAGGAGCTCAGCGACCACATGTGTCTGCATTTGAAGGACTACCTGGGGGACAACGATGCCCTGGAGGAGCTGGGTAAGCGATTTTGCGTGCAGGGGTGGGCGAGGGGTCAGCTTTTGTTGGGCAGCACATTAAGTTTATTAGCATGGGGTTTAATGGTCAGTGTTTGTTCCAAGTGTTGTCCAGTTTAAATATGCCTGTTGAATTTTACAAAGAGGTGCTTCTGTTACTGAACTCTCATTGTGGTTGTGTGTAGATCAGTGCAAGGGATTGGATTTTATTGTCATTTAAAATAAATTTTGGCTTACAGTGATTTATATGGACAAGATTACAGAGATAAAAAATATCATTGTGCTGTTTTCTGTTTTGCAGCATTTCTCTTGGTTTGCCTTTCAGCTCATCCTCTCTTATACTTTTGTCCCTCCATCGGCCAGGCTGTGGCACATTTTCTTGTTTTGGGTTCTTTTGTGACCTCTTGGATGAGTCGCTGAGGCGCTCTTAGAGTAATTTTGGTGATTCAGTAATACTGCATTTGTAGATATTAAATTGTCTTTAGCTAATATTAAAATTAGTTTGATGATCTGAAACAAATATGCAAAAAAAAAAGAAAAATCATGAAAGGGGCAAGTTTATGGATTAAACTAATTGTGATTATTAGAATTTTTTGTGATGTCTGTACTATTTTACTGGTAAATGCTTATTTTAATCACTCACCCCTACCAGTCATCTCTGCATCATCTAACCATAACCTGCTTATATTACGAATGCTACGAATGGCAGTGCTGCAGAGTGCGCTATAAAGCCCCCTGCTTCATTTGAGTCACAAGTAAAACTGCTTTTGTAGCTACAGTCAGATTTTGCCGGTACATGGTTTTATTTTTATTTTGTGACAGCAACTGTCTCTACTCAACACCAGACTATACGATGGGATACTTCTCAACCTCATGCTGATCACGGTTAATCTGGTTTTCATGTTATTGGACATGTGGGTGCTTTAAAGTTTTTAAAGTTGCTTTAAACATTCTGTAATGACATTGCAATAATTACTGATTCTCTTTCTTTCTTTCTTTCTTTCTTTTTCGTTAGATGAATATGCTTGTCTCTGGAATGGATGTGAATTTCTCTCCATGGGTAGCCCTGCAGAGCTGGAGGTCCATGCTTATTTCCACAACTACCATGGGAAGCTCAAGTTCATTGGGTCACAGCTGCTCAAGTCCCGTCCAGATCTTCCCAGCTGCAATCAAGGCATGCACAGCAACAATCTGGTCCCTGAAGGATCAGACGGATATGTTTGCCAGTGGGAGCAATGTGATGTACGTATTTTTCATTTAAGTTATCCAGTCTTCACTAAACGATTGATATATTATCATGGGATTTATTTATTTTTTCCTTGATTTCTTTTTTTAAGTGTACATTTAATAATCCTGAGTGGTTCTATCGACATGTGGACAACCACATAGAAAGTGCTGAACCACAGTCTCTGCCTCAACAACAGCAGGCGCTCTTCTGCCAGTGGGCAGGTACGACCGGGAGTTTTTTAAACGTTCGTGAGACGCTATCTCCTTGGACACCGTGTGACATTTCCCGTTTTGTTCACAGGCTGCGACGCCTTTTTCAAGATCAGATACCGTTTGAGGGAACATATGCGGAGCCATACTCAGGAGCGCCTTGTCGCCTGTCCTACGTGTGGCAGCATGTTCTCCAGCAACACAAAGCTGTTTGACCACCTGCACAGGCAAGCTGAGCCAGTAGGTGAGACGGACGCTTAAGCTCGCATTAAATTTCTGTGATGTTGATGTTTTAATTGCGCCGCCTTATTGCTGATGTTTGTATGTGTACTTATCCTAACAGAGACGCTGGTTTGTGAACACTGTGGGAAAGCTTTTTCCAGCGAGAGGCTTTTGCGGGATCATGTTCGTCAGCATGGTGAGTTTTATTCCTAAATTTTCTTTTGGGATTAAATTGTTTTTATGGCTGTTTGTCTTGAAATATTAGAAATGGAGAGAGCGGTTTATGAGCAGTTTATCGCACATTGCTACAGATTTTCTTTTGTTTCTGTTGTCAAGCTCCCTACTGTGTGGTCTTTAGATTTGTATTCATTGAGCTCTTATTTTGTACTGAGTTATGTCATTTGGTTGGTCAGGTGTACAAAATCTGATCTATTTCAGTTTCTTTGTGATCTGTTAGTTATTAAACGTTAATAGATCCATGGTGGATCTCTGACTCAGTTTGATCATCTGTTACATGCATTGCCCGCCTTTTTTTTTCTTTTTACTCTCAGTGAATCAGGTGAAGTGCCCCTTTTGTGACATGACCTGCACCACTTTGGCTGCTCTGAAGATCCACATCAGGTTCCGCCATTGTGATGAGCGTCCGTTCCCGTGCGACTTCTGTGACAAAAGGTAGATCCTCCAACACAGCTCATCAAGTGTTTAGTTAACAGCAAACACACTCTTAACTCCATCGTTTTCTTTAATCTGGCAGCGAAAGCTGGGTTATCAAGTTTCAGCTATTTCAGTAAAATTCTCTTCCATAAATTTTTTTTATCATTAACGTCTTAAATCGTGTATTTGTGAGGAACCATGTAGCATTTTTCACATCCAAAGTCACAAGGAAGTTTTCATTCCAGCTCACTCATTATTTCCTTCAGTTTGTGTATGTGTAAGTAATCCCTGTGAGGCAAAAACTCATGTGACTTTAAATGCTTGATTTCTCACAGTTTTCTGCTCTTAGCTTGTCAGTATCCTTAACATGGTGCTCTCAGGTACACAGCTCTGTTTGTGAATACAGGATTCGCTAAAAAAGGTCTTTCAGACTGAGGAAGAACAAAGTGGGTGCACCGTGGGCCTGGTATATAACAAACAGGGATTATTCTTAACTGTGATTTATGCAAAGCTACTCTAGTATAGAGTCAAAGAACAAAAATGGGAGCTGGAAATGAGCTCAGGATAATATCTGCTCTTTAGATCTTTTTATTATATGTTTTTAGTCTTTAGTCGTGCCTTAAAAATATTGTATACCCTTTAAGGAATTCTCCTAATAAGACCTTAACCAAACTATTAGGAAAGGTTCGTTAAAATATTGTGTTTAAAGGGTTTTTTAAAGAAAGAGCCACAAAATATGAAAAAAGAAACCAGTTCCTTGTTTTATTGTCTTTCAATCATTTATGTCTCTGTATGAGATATATTGGTTTGCAGCCTCCTGTGATGTCAGAACAGCCTAATCATCGTCTCCAACTGACCCTCCCCCAAAGGAGAACCAGCAGGATTGACATACAGATGTTTGTAACTGTTTCTGTTTCATTTGGGGTGTTGTTTACTCAAGCACAATAGACATTTTTATGTATGAAGTAACCACAAAGAACAGGAAAATGCAGGCACTTCTGTTCAGTAACACAGACTTTACTGCCTATGCTGACCAGTCCTGCTTATGTGCATATTCATCCCTCAGAACAGCCCATTTCAAGCCAGGAAAAACTCTGCAGTGTGTAATTTTATTTCTTTTATATACTCAGTAGAGCTGTGTGCTGTGACTGTTCCTGGCTGGAGCTCAGTCGCACAGCAGCTCGTTTGCTTTTAAAGCCCCCAGATACGCCCTGTTAGGAGATGAGTTAAAAGCAGGGGTATAAAGGTGGGGAAGAATTAGTGACCTGTGAGGTATTTTTTTAGCTGAAACTTGAAAAACATATTAATAGAACACATGAGGGTAGAAACGGGCCATAATATGGGACTTTTTAAGTAGCAGTGCAATTTTTGACTCATCTGTATTGAAAATGTAAACAACTATAAGTAAGTAAGAAGTAAGAGGCTCAAACATGTGACATGTGAGTGAGAATGCTGCTAGAGCCACATCTTTATTACCAAAATCAGTTTTTACCCCTCAGCCTTGGAAGGCTGATGGGGTGCTGTCGTAACCCTGCTGTGCAGGCGGCTTGGACATTCAAATTTGTGAATACAAAAAAGGAGGCGACAGGATTTTTAAATTCATACCATAAGTGATTCTACAAAAAGTCTCAGATGAGTTTGAAACTCAGTGACTTGGTCCTCAAGGTTTCTAAAGATCTTGCAAATGCGATAACTCGAAAAAGATGTCACCAAGTATTTGAAATTGACACCAAATCTCCCTCAGGTTGGAATCTCAGTGAGGTCAACTATTCTGAAAATCACTTTGGATTTTTACATTTATACCAGAGGTGCATCTACAGGGAGGCTGAGGGGTAAAAGCTACAGTCGCCAGTAATTTTAACTGTTTCCATCTTTATTTCCCCACAGATTTAAGAACCAGCGCGATCTGCAGAAGCACACAGAGGTTCACAATGAGGGCACCATGTACAGCTGTACAGTGGAGGGCTGTGATTATACTTGTCATACGTTCCAAACAATGAGCCAGCACTTCAAGAGAGTCCATGAGGTTTGTAACACAGTGTCGTCCAACATATTACCTGGTCAGATCATCTCAGCCTGCTGTGACTGTAGATATACTAATGGTTTTTTGTTGATGACCAATAGGTTGGGGGAATGGCTAAATATAAATGCCATATCTGTGATAAGGTGTTCTCTTGGTGTTACACTCTTACACTTCACCTTCGTAAGAAGCATGAGCTGAAGTGGCCCTCTGGACATTCCCGCTTTAGGTGAGTCACCTGTGGTAATAGTCATCCTCTCTGCTTTACAGTCCTCTGGGTGCGACAAATATAATTTAAGTAGAGCTGAAAAAAAGTAAAAACTCAAATGGATTCCTCTCCTCTCCTGTCATACAGGTACAGGAAGGATGTCGATGGTTTCCTGAAGTTAAATATGGTGCGCTTTGAGACTGTTGAAGTGACAAAGGAGATCATGAAGAACATGGCCAAGAAGCCTCAGAGCCTTCAGAAAAGTCTGAGTGGCAGCGGTCAGGACGAGAGCGCTGTTGTCACGCTGGAGAGCGGCCGAAGCTCTCCCACAGGATCCTCCTCGCCCTCCTCCAGCTCCTCCTACTCCTCAGAGTTCTCGGGAGGTGAGGACATGTCATCTCAAGCCAGCCCCAGAGGCAGCGACTCTCCTGTCTACTGTGTGATGAGCACCATTCCTCACATTGAGGACGAGTCTGCAGGACTGATGCAGGAGGACTGTGATGGTTTTGGGGCTTCCGGAGCAGTCCAGGCTCTGACGGAGGTTGCGAGGGGCCTCGGCATGGATGTGGTTTAAGTGTTCACTGTGCACTGGGTCAGGTGACCCACACCCAGTGTAGGCTTTATGCAATTAATAAAAATTTCTGTTAAAGTTTTTATGAATGGGGGAAGAGTTAAAAGCACTAGAAAGCTTGTTCCATGAAATGTTCTCCAGGCACTGAATTCCGAAGACTTTATTTTTTGTTGTGACCTTTGTTGAATTTTATTGTTACACAGTTAAATACATTTTTGAAACAAGAAAAGATCGTGCCATGTTTTTGTGTCTTTTTGTGGCTTTGTGGTTTTAGAGATGCTAATGAGGGTTAATCCACATCTATTCATACATCCTCACTTTTAGCATTTAGCGCAAAGCTTATGTGCAAAATACAGTCTTACAGACAGAACCTCCATAAACTCCATAAATCAGCAGTTTTTCTTTTTCCCGGTTTTTTTTAGAGGCCAACCTGAGCCCAACTTAAAAAAAGTAAGCACATGAACATGAATCTGCTTACACTTTAAGGTGTAAATAATCAGTGCTGCTCACTGTGTGGAGTACCACAGAAACCTAAATGACCAGTGAACACAAGACAGGTGCTGTAAATATATATTTTTAAATACCTTTCTCCCACTCTGGCTGATTACTCAGAGATTCCTAGTGCCTTGAGGTGACTGTTTTTATTTGGCTCTGTATAAATAAAACTGAAGTGAGAGATGAAATTTGAGAATGTGAGCTCTCCCTTTCTGAGCCTACTCTGGAGACTCAGGGTCCCAATACTGCATCAGAGCCAGTATGAGGCCGCTGACGTCTGCAGCGGTGTTGACACTTCTCTCGACAGAAGTGTCTCCCTCACTCGAAGGAAATAAAGAGGTGACGTGATACCTCTTGCTACAAGAGGTTTCCTGATTGCCTTGCAGGTATTCAGTGAGTAGTCTTTAAGGGTGTGTTTCCTAAAATGGAAACTGTGTGTGTCCCTCATTGTCTCCCATGAAGAAGTCTGGCAGGGATGCGGCTTGGTGTCTGGATAAGACGCGTTAAATCTAATGCTGTTAGGATACAGGAAAGAGCAATCACTCATGTTAGTGTGCATGTTGTGTGCTGGTGGATGTGTATAAGTTGTGATGAATGGAGATGGATAATACTGCAAAGTCTGAGAAGAACCAAACGGACTGTTGGACATTTCGTGCCTCATTCTCTTTGCTTTGTTGATGCCTTCACACTCAAACTGCCTCTTCCTGTCGAGCGATCCGCTGTGTCTGCCATCAAGGTCAGAAGTGACTATTAATTCCCTGAACTTCTCTTTATGAGGTAAATTCTTTGTTGGGCTAGATTGGTGGATCTGGTGTTTCTCTTTCTTATCAGGTGTTGAGTGCTGGTCCTGCTTCTCACAGTCAAGTTTCTCCCTGTACCCACGGCTGTGGGTAGACACTGGTGGAGGCGTTTGAAGGTCAGAGACAGAACAGTCACAGCTTGTAGTTTCACTCTTACTTCCACCTGAAGAGAATTCAGACGAAGAGTCTAAGTCCAAGAAAAGGATCAGTGCTACATTTCTACTTAATCATTGCTGGCGTGAAACTCACCTGAACATGGGTGTGCACACGGCTGGTGTAGTTCCTTTTGTTGCACAGAGGCAGAGGGACTGCTAGCAGGACACTCAGGTGTCAGCTCCTGTTGACTGCTGTGCATTTGTTGCAATTTCTGGTAAATTAAATATTACATGTTGGTTATCAGACAAATCAGCTGTGCAATACAAGATCAGTATGATCCATTAATATTATCCCTCTGCGAACTTTTCACAATACTGTGAGCAATACAATTCACAATAACAGCATTATTGTGACATACCTCTGAGCTGAAAAACAATAAAGCTCAGGTAGTTTATCTCTTAGGAAATGAATTACACTCAAAATAAGAGTATGAGGAGGTGCTGAAGAGCATTTCTGAATACACAGCAAATCCAATCGTAAAGTAGATGGGCGACAGCAGAGCGACTGGCAGAAGACCACCACGGTGCCACTTCTGTCAGCTGAGAGCAGGAACCGGAGCCTACAGTCTGCATGGGATCACCAATGCTTCCACACGTAACTCCCAAAACACGTAGAGACGTCCCAATAAATCCCAATAAAAAAAAATAACAATTACATTTATTTAGCGCTCACCTTGAGTTGTTTGTGGTGGTAAATTTTCCACGCAATACACACGTGCAGTGCGCCCCATCTCCCTCGTATCTGGAAAAGAAATCATTCATTTTAATGAAAACAATTTCATCAATTTAAAAGGAAAGCGAAGTAACATTTTATATATTTTAGTTACTGAGATTCTTGAGTTTTTTACTCACTGTTGAGTTAGAGGATCTAGTTGTTGCTCTGTGCGAGGCTGTGATGGGTGCAAAGAAAGTCCTCATTGTTTGTCCGGGCAGGTTTGTGTTAAACTGTAGCAAGATGTAAAAGATGGATATCAGTGAGGAGTAGGTAAAAGCAGGTGAGGGGCCTGGAATAACTTCCAAGTCTGAGCAGCTTCACATGAGGATAGTTAAAGTAATCACATCTCACATTTCTGTCCTGAGGTCCCATCAATGCTGGATTTGGCAGGATGCTCGAGGACTGGTGCAGGACGGGAGTGAAGGCATGCCTGGGGATGTTCTGATGCATGTGGAGAAGTTGACGGAGCAGGCTGTGGTCGCAGGAAGTAGACTGATGAGACAGAAACAATTGACAGTTTTAGTTTCTGAGCTAAGATGGCAGATCGCATGCAGTAGAGCAGGAGATTTTAAAGTCTGACACTATAGGGTAAGTTAGTTAACCACAACATAAGCCTTGTTTTCTTGCCCTAAATCTGTTTACATGTTGGTAAATTGGCTTCATTTAGAGTATCAGAAAATCCCATTTAAAGCGTTTCACCGTCTCTTATATTGAAACTGCAGAGAACTTTCAAACAGGATGATTTTCCTGGGAAGTTTTGGATACTGCGGAGCTCCCCGATCTCCAGTTCATTGTGGTTTTTGATTTAAGGTCACCAACCATTAAGAATGTTTTCTAAAACATATTGTACAGTATTGAGTAAACCTTTTAGGCAATTTGCTTTTCAAATCACATGCAAATGACTGTATCTTGTTAGCTTGCATCACAGATGGTAATCCAATTGAGGCAGTTTGTGTGCCAATCCATTTAATTCATTTAAAATCCATCCGTTTCAAGGACACATGATTAGTAATGCTGTTAGCGAATGGGAGGAAAAGTGATGAATATACCGTAATATTAGAGAAAATTAATCTCTAGTGATTTATTGTAAATGTGGGACACATAGGAAAGAAGCAGAAAATAACCTGATCATAAGACAGTCCTCACCTATTTCATTCATATCAACAGGTAATTAACCTGTACACAGTATTAACGCAGTGGCAGACAACTGTATTGGTCTCTGTGCTTGCAGTGCACAGTGGGCTCTGTAGTTTTGCTCACTGGGACTACAAACATTTAAAAACTATAAAAAAAAGTCGGGTGTACTCCTTTCCGACAACCTGTCTTCGCTGCAGCAATCCAATAGCCTGATCCCTCCTTTCTCATAAAGACAAGATTAGCGAGAGGCTACACCTCCTATGTTCTCTAAATTTCGTGCATGTCAGCGTGCCACAGAAATCCTTTAATCTCGTAAAGGAGCTGTTTGTTAGGCGAACAGCAAACAGAGTGAATAAGGCTTTGGAAACATCTTGCTGTGTCATCGGAGGGCACAGATAGCACCGGGGCTCGCCTCTGACATGACATGTGCTCTTTTTTTTCATGCTCAGAAAAAAAAAGGTTATTTATTTGCATCCTTTATTTTTGAACATGTCATTAGTAAAACAAACTGGCACAAACGACAGCTGAACAGTTAAGGTCGTTTCTGAGAAATGTTTTATTCACCTCATCTAATGTTAATATTTCATCGTTTTATATGATCATCAACTAAACTTCTAAGAAACATTTTACTGTTTTCAGGCAGTTTATTGGTCAAAAAGCAGAACAAAAATGGAAAAACGGCTATCACTTGCAGTCCCAGAGCAACTGTAACACAAGTTAATTTGATTTAATCACCTGAATCATCACATAATTAACATAACATGGGGAAAATAGATGTAATTTTATGTTTGAGAAGTATATTTACATATACTTCTCAAAATATTTAAATTGTCCCCGTCTTACAGCAGGGGTCCCTCTCACAATTTAATATTTGACATTTTCCCTTCCAAAGTCATGTATGTTTTATACATTTATGAGTCTTACCTGTGAGCACCAAGTCCTTTTAAATTTCAGCTAAATGGTGGGGGAAAAAATCCAGATCAATTCAGCCGAGCATTCAGGAGCGTGAACCCTGTTTGTTGTCCCTCTGCAGGTCCTAACTTCATGTCAGCAGGAACCACTTGTTGCTGTGAACCGGTGTCAGCTGTCTGCTGGCCCTGGTCAATTAGTCAGTGTTACTTACCAACACTAGGAAAGACCATTAACTACTCCTAATGGCTTAAACTAATCCCATCAGCCATATAAATCTTTGTGATTGAGTTTAGGGAAAGACAGCTTGTGTGGCAGCAGAAGGGATTTCACAAAGAGAGACAATGGAAATCTGGCGTGCAAATAATTGCAGCACCTCCAGCCATTTCTATTGTTAAAAGAATCCCGTCCAGCACCGTGCAGGACAGCGCAACGTGTAAATATTCAGCAGGTCGATGTGGTTTCAACACTAATTAAACATGTTTTGTTAGTGAGCAAAACGAAACTTTATTATGAAATTTAAATACTGCAAGCTATTATCGATTATTAACTTGTCTGATGAACCCATAACACTGCGAGGTGTCCATTCATCTGTTTGTCTGTCCTGTCACAAGTCACAAAGAATCACTGCTCCTCCTTGAGCAAGGTGTCAAACATCAGGTCTGGGGGCCAGAATTGTCCCGGCATAGGCTTTGGCTTCGGAACATATGAAAGGGTGAAAGAGGCCATAAATCTTTGCACTTTTAAGTGTAATTTTTTTAGTCTTACAGCTTTTTCTGCTGTTAAAGACCTCCCCCGCAGCCATCCATGCTACACCACAGGAGTTTCATAATGGATACATTTTTCGTCTACTACAGAAAGTTTAGTTACTAATAAAAGTGAGCTATCAGAACTTTTTTCTTAATGTTACACATTTACATGCACAAAATTAAACAGGTGGACCTTCACTTGTCCGACCCATTGTACATCAAAGCGGGCTGCATGTGCCCCTCTGATTATGTTTCCTTACCCAAGTTGTGCTCAAGGTCAAGGCCACTTTTCTATTTTCACAGCATGAGCTTCATGCATGCTGCTCACATACCATCTTTAACATGAGATTCTCCAGACTGATAAATTTTACATGCACAGCATAGCAGAGAAAGAAGTTGCTTTGCCACATGTGCTGTATGCCACACGCTTCCTTTTAGATGGCAATGATCATGACGTACAGGAGTGGCCCTGTTGGTTGACTCCCACATTAGGAGGAAGTGGTTGGTGACTTCCTATCACCAATGAGCTGATATCAGCAAGCAGGTCAGCCCTATGCATGATGATGCTGTGTTCATGTATTTTCATGCTCTTTGTTTTTGTTTTTGTTTTTTTACAGGTATTATGTTGTCAAAATACTCCTGAACTCAAAGATTTTCATTAATAACTTAAAAAGAGACATCTGAATCCAAACAGTAAATAATAAAGTAAGTAATACAGTTACACAATTATTAATTACTTTGGTCACTTTTTACTTAAAATGTAACATAAAAACAAAAAACAAAACGTAACATACCCAACACCTGGGACAGTAGTGCGTCCTAGTACGCACTATGTGGTCACATCTTTTTGAAACTAAGCACTTATCAACACAAGCTGGAATCATCCTGAAAATGGTGTTACTCTGTAAAAACCTATCAGTTGCCCCACTTTGACACAGAGTTTCAGCCAGAAAGAAGCATGCGGTCACATGATGTTACTGTGAGGCTCAACATGGAAGCAGCGTCAGCGCTAATATGACACCATCATCCGCATAAGAAAATCTACTGGCTGGCTCCGAACACATCTACTCCCAGTATAGCGCAGTGTTCGTCTTTCCACATGAAATGGGGTTAAATACTCGGATTCTTTGAATTCTGTCATCTGGCTCAAGCTCCATGTCCCAAATGGCCCCAGACAAATTGTACTACCCTTCAATTGGATCCCATTAAGCAGAACATAAGACGATGATTGGATGAGGCTTTGGGATGACATGTTCTCCTCGATTAGCTAATTCCATTCTCACTAACCATCCAAATCCGGTTAGTGTGGGCAGGGTTAAAGCTGCTCCTGCACTGAACATTATTCACTCAGCGAGCGATCTATTGCCCTTTTTAACCTCAAGCGCCAAGACTAATTAGACAACTTAAAGCCGCTTCTTCAGAATGGAGCCACAAAGACTACTTTAGCTATTAAAAACCTTTCACTGATTAAAACAGATTTGAAGATTTCTTTAGAATAAGAATCCTTTTCTGTATATTTTTATTTGTATTTACACAAAATTCCCTTCACAGCTCTGCCCAGTGTGAGTCTGGGCACCAATCAGGTGGTTGATTAAACAAACCTGTGTTAGTTTGCAGAGCCTGTGAAATGATGGTTTGAAATCTAAATCGCCAAATGAGCTTCCCCCATAGTTATTTATTTAACACAAACTAAGCCAAAATGAGAAAAGAAAGTCCTGCTTCCACAGGAATCGTGAGGGTAAGTAGCAGCTGGGTGCTGCCTATTGAATGCACTTGGTTAACCGATCCTCAGCAGGTCTGGGCACCTCTATCAAAGCAGATGTTTCGTCTGTTTCTGGTCTGGAGCTTTCAGGTGTGTGTTAACACAATACTGGAGTTTTCCCAGGAGTGGATGCCCCAGCAAATCCATGTGTCCGACTGATAAAGGCTTGCTCCAACAAGAAAATGTCTGGAAAAAGAAAAGAATCAAGGTGCTGCAACGGCTGAGTCAAAGTCCAGACCTCAGCCTGGTTGAAATGCTGTGGTGGGACCTTAAAGAGACCTGTGCATAAACCAGTACACATAAATATCAGTGAACTGAAGCATTGCTGTAAAGAAGAGTGGGCCAAAGTTCCTGGGCCAACCATGTGAGAGACTGTTAAAGTAATACAGAAAATGATTACTTCAAGCTATTGCTGCTGAATCCTGAGTGTACTTTTGACACTGCTTCTGCATTTAGGTTTCATTTTTAGTTTCATCTGTTTGTTCAATCTGTCTGGTACATAAAACCGTATTCACTTTTTTTCATTACTGTATAGCCATTTCTGTCATCTAGTGCATTATTATTATACTTAGCTTGATTAAAATCTACAATATGAGAAGCTAACTTTACATGAAACATGCAAACTCACGAGCTCCTAAAAATAACAACTTGCAAAAAAGGCCACAAGGCTGAAAAGTGTGACACTGAAGTTGCATGATTTTGGTTCAACAGCCCAGATGAGTATACTAGGAAAGTGAAATGCAGGCTGAAGGTACTCCGTATGTTATTTATTGTTTTTAGAAAGTAAAATGTGGCATTCTTTGTCCTCCACAGCTGTACAGGAACACTGGAAGTTGTTAAAGGGATCTCAGTCACGGCGACGTTTTGCAAGCAGTTCCCTGTCAAACAAACAAACGTCACAGTATTATTAAATTATCATTTGAACCTTAAATTCATTTAAGCATTTCACTTCATTGATGCAAGTATTTCACATGTACCTGTTCACACTGAGTTGAATTTATTTTGTGCCTGCATGCCTTGTTCATTTTAATAACTGGTGCTTATGTTTGTGATAAGCAGTTGTACATTTACAGGATATAAGGGATTAATTAAACTCCACTGGGGGAAAATAAGCTGCATAAATAACTTTAAATCATTTTTGTTTTGTCACATTTTCATATTTTCAGTCCATAAGACTGGCATACTGGTATGAAACTGCCTTCTATATGGTGTTAAAGGAAACCCCCCAGAAACCTGATAAATGCATATTTTAGGACAGTGATGAACAAACAGTGAGCCGCTGCCCTCTCGTGGGCAGCGAGGGTACTGCCGGTTGGAGATATGAGCTCGTTTATAACAAATACTTGTACTAAGTGAAATTCTCATGACATTTAAACATTTTAAATGAATATAAATACGTGTAATCCTGTAGGATACTTTTGTTTTGATTCTTCTATAAAATCCTTTGAGACTGGTTTCAAAATGGAACAGATTTCCTCATTTAAAATCACCGTTTGGATCCTAAAGGTCATCTTTATAATGAAGTTTAACATTTTAAAGAGAAACTCAACTGATCAAGCAAAATCCTACATTTAAAAATTATGTTCTTCCTTTTCAGACCTTTTTGTTGTGTCTTTAGCTTCACTCAAAAAAGACATGAGTACTTAGGTCAGGTATTGAGGTTTGGAGGATTAGTTCAGTTATTAGACAAAGGATGTTGAAGATGGATCTGCCAGGCAGGGGGGGAAGAGGAGGACCACAGAGGAAATTCATGGATGCAGTGAAGGAGGAGGGTTGGCATTACAGAGCAGGCTGTTAGGAATAAGGTGAGAGAAGTTCCACTGAGGCGACTCCTAAAATGGTCACATGAAAGAAGAAGAAAAGAAATGCTCACATATATGCTTGTTTGATGATCAGAGATTTGACTGAAGGTTTGTGTGGGCAGCACAAGAATTAGTGTTTAGATACCATTACATTTTGTCTCCACCAGAGGGCGCCAATAACCATATTATTCAACATGCTTTTTCTAATGGTCAGATTTTAGGAGCTCTCATAAAAAGCCATTTGAAATACTATTACAAATGGCTTTGTAATACTATTGAGTACTATTATTGTTAAAATACATATTTAAATTATCATGTGCTTTATCGTCTATCTGAACAGTTATTGGCCCGCAGTGTCCTCATGATGTTTCTGTTTCTGCAGAACTATCAGACAAACACGAAGCAAGTGCAGAGAGAAGAAAAACTCAGAGGTGGAGGCCAAAACAGGAACTTCCAAGTTCTCGCTGAACCATTTGTGGTTAACCACTTTAACCGTTTTGGTGCCACTGTTTATATACCTGAGCGTCCTTTCTGTTTAAATTTTCAGTTTCTCTTTCTCAGAAACCTGTTATTGTTCATTACTTACATGCTTTACTCCAGAGATTAATTATATTTTAAGGATTTCAGTGTGACTGATCACCATTGTGTTAAAATTAAAAATGTATTTTTCTCCCCTGGATAGTTCAGATTAAAACATTCTGTAAATGTTATTTATTAAGGCCTTTCTGCGCCTTATATTTCACCTCGCCTCCCATGCAAACAGGAGCTCAGGTCTCAGGAGGTTAACACATCATTTTCTCAGAGAGCCTTTCTGGGTTTTCGTGATCAGCTTCATGCCTAAATTGCCTTTATGGTAATGCTCATTCGTCACTTTGATTTTCTGATTT